ACTGGAAGTTTCAATCCTCCTACTTTCATGCATTTGCGCATGTTTGGTGAGTTATTTGAAGAGCTCCGAGCTCTAGTAGTTTTCTTTATTTCCATTTGCTGAAGTTCAGAGCTGTGTCTGGCCTTGGTGTTCTTAAAAACCCAATATAAATTTACAGAGTAAAGAAGACCCAATAATATAAGTGCTATCCGATTCCCCACACAATGTTAGTCCAGCTAAAAGCTTCCCTTTCACGCCTCTTTCCTTTTCTGTTTTGAAGTTTCAGATCATGAATGATGATGTAAGATATAATTTTTTCAATATAGAAACATAGTTATAAACACAAAAGCTCAAATATCACTATTTATAGTGATTGATTGTAAGTATAGTAGAATGGTTTGGAGTGTAGAAGACTGTGGATTTGGATCCCCCTGCAAGGAGAATGGGGAATATTGCCTGAAAAATACAAAAATGTAGCAATTCCTTTGGCATTTACTGTTGAAGTGTTTATTAAGCAGTAACTGAATATGAATGAAATGATTGCCACTGAAATTCTAATGTCTCAGTTGAGTTGGGTTTTCTCAAGAACCGATTTACAAGCATGGTGTCTTCCTGCATTCTTAATTCCTTAAATTTTTATTTTCAGATAATAATTCCCTCCCTTAATTATAACATCATAAGTTCGGCTCTTCAAAAACAAAGAAGGGAGAGTGGTGTTCTTTATTTCTAATTTTTCTTGGCAAACAGATGTATCATGTTGGTAATCTTTCCTTGCTTCCCTAAACAGGTTTATTATGTTGTTAGACAATTCACTTACTGTTTTAGAGTTACAAATCCTTGGCGAAGTAAAATCTTCACCATATCTTTGGTTCATCGACATAATTCCATTAATTGGCATATTTTAATTGTTAACTATAATTTGTTTTCTGCTTTCTTTTTTAAAATATTTTCTCAGAGCTTGCAAGAGATGCATTGAATCCAGAAGGCTACTGTGTTATTGGAGGTTATATGTCACCTGTTAATGATGCATACAAGAAAAGGGTAATAAACATTTTTGAGCATCCTGCAAAACTGTAATGGAATAACTCATTAAGGACCCTCTTTAGCTGCAATTACTATTTCATGGCGACATCCCCACTCTGCGCTAGCTTATTAAAACTGAGATGCTCTAGTATATTCATATGTGCATCTTTGCAAATTGAAATTCACAAACTGTAGGATTGATGAAGGAAAATAAAATATGAGAATCAAAGGACAGTTTTTTAGAGCTTTGAGACTGACCTAACTGCCCCTTTATAATTTTCCTGCAGTTATAGGAGAGGTATCCTAAGAACTTCTATCTCAAAAATCTGTTACCTACATTTTTACATTCTGTTTCACGGCTAAATTGGTCTCATTGCTTATCACTTGAAATATTGGTAAAGGGCCTTGTTTCTGCTGAACATCGGATACGCTTATGTCATTTAGCCTGCAAAAGTTCAGAATTTATAATGGTGGATCCATGGGAAGTAAGTTACTTTCTCCCTTAAACTCTAGATGTGATTCTGTGTCCATGCAATTAATTTTCATCTTGCAGAAAATTGAATAAGAGATAATGATATGGATTATTTGGTTTAAATAGACCATGAACAAAGGCCAAAAAGACAAAGTTCTACTTGATGTTGTTTGTTCAGGTCCTGCATTTTATATGGCTGAGACTTTTAGATTTTTCTTCCAGGCAACTCAAGCCACATATCAGCGCACTTTAACTGTTTTATCTAGAGTCCAAAGCTGTATTTGTGAGGCAGGGCTGGTACCCAGGGGTGAGTTACTGAGTTCTACAAACAATTCTTCAGCAAAAGCAAAATATTGTCTTACCACAATACCAGCTAGTTTTCCTCTCAAAGTTAAAGAGAAAACAATCTTATGTTTCTCTCTTGTTGAAAGTTGAAACTTCAGTCAAGTGTGCTCACTAGCTCCGGCCATGTATAATATACAGGTCGTTGCACTAGGTGTTCAATTAAGAATGCAGTATCATCATTTAAATAATTGATATTCTTTCTCTGTTATCAAATTCCATTCACACTGAGTGGCTTTTTAGTAAGCGGACTTATTCAGTTCTGCGTTATACGGAAGCTTTCAAAAGAATCAAAACTGACATATACGTTATTGTTCGTGATTCCAGACATAGGCTAAAGTATGCTTTTAATAGTTGCGCCCATTTGGCATATGTTGATCTAAACCTAAGTGGCTTTCTATGTGTGTTTCTGTTGATGGTTTAGAAATAAATGCTAAAATTTGCTTTGGAACTGACTGGTGTAGAATCCCTCAAGGTCATGCTCATCTGTGGTTCTGATCTCCTTCACTCCTTTGGCATTCCTGGGGTATGGATTCCTGAGCAGGTATTTTTTTAAAACATTCCAAGAGAAAAATCTGATAGCGCTGATAATAAACTGGCTATAACAATAGCGTCACTCGTCATTGTAACTATAATAGAATTAGTGTTATTGGCAAGCCATCGGAATCAAAGGAATTAGATTGATTCTGTGATGATTATATTGCTCCGTCTGATAAGCTTATTAAGTTAATAAGTTTTGCTTCTTGTTACAGACATGAATTGATATCGGGCAGAATACTTATCCATGCATTAGCAATTTTTGACCTTTCTTATTATTGTTTAGGTTAAGGCCATATGCAAAGATTTTGGAATAGTTTGCATCCGCAGAGAAGGACAAGCTGTTGAGAGGACTATCTCTGATAATGACATTTTGAATGAAAACCGGGTAACTATGCATCCTGCTCTCCTCCTGTTTATTTCCCGGTGTATAAGAAACGAACTGTGATGAGTAGGAAATAACAAAATATAACCCAAAAAAAAAAAAACTAGTTTTTTTTAAAAATAAAAAGTAAATCCTGTCGTATATTGCTGGTCTGATTTACACACACACACACATATTAACTGCTATAACTTTAGCAGGATAATATCAAAGTTGTGGATGAAATTGTACCAAATCAAATCAGCTCAACCAGACTAAGGTAAATATGTCATCGGGTCCCTGGAGTTATGCCAAATGATTTAACCATTGGGGGCTTTTCATTTATTCCTTCTGAAAACTTTCCTCTTGAAAAAATTTCAGGGAATGCATTGCAAGAAGATTGTCAATAAAATATCTGACTGTGGATGAAGTGATCGATTATATCAGGGAGCATCAACTATATTTAAACTCAGACGGAAAGTAACATTTGTATTGCTCTGTATAGTGCGTGCTAATTATATCATTTGTTTTAAACAAAGATATACAGGAGGCACAACGATTAGAAGTTCTGGAGGTGGAAAAAAAGGCAAAAAAATTTGTGAACAATGGGGCTAAGGGGTCATTTTAACTACACAAATAAGTAATTGTACTGTCCGAGTTTTATGTAATTTGATAGGATGTACTTTTTGTCCTTGATATTTTACTCAACTGGTGAGTATTTTTTAATTAAAAAAAAAAATCAAGTGATGATTTTGCTCCTGAGCTTCATGGTTGATAATTATTATCCTGTTTAAATTTTAAAAAAATCTGGTATTATTGTTTTTTTATGTTCATCCTTGATTTTGTTGCAGAATAAAGATGAAACTAACAGGTGTTAGAATTGTAGAAAATGAAAAGGCTTCATATAAAGTTCCCTCTGGCTAATGTCATCAATGGCTAAATATTCATTATTTGTTCATTATTATTATTTTATTTAAATTTTGATACAATGGGGAGGAAAATCTTGTTTGTAATTATTTTAAAAAATGTAAAGTATAAATATCTAATTATCACCGTGTGTTTATAATTGCAGTATTTATTAGTACATTAGGAGGATTTAAACTTTGAATTTTAACCCTTATCTAACTCCTTCTATACATATGCAATTTTTAATCATTGAAAATTTTCTGAGTAACAGATGAATCTGAATGATATAAATGCAAATGCATATATTTATATTTATTATGTGAAGTTTTCTAATCACATATAGTCATGTATCTTATTTTTCAAATATTAGTATTTGATAGTATTGAACTATTAATTCATATGAAATAAAAAAAAACATGATTATGTGTGATTAAAAAACTTGATGTAATGGATATGAGAAACTTGACTTTAGTTTTTTTTTTTTTATATGGTGTGAATTTTTAATAGAAAGTTGTAGGATAAAGTATACTAATTTTTCTTCTCTTTATCCTAACTATAATTATTATATTTTTATTTTCAAAACATATACACACTTCTTTCACAATTAAAAGCTATACAATGCACATCCCTCCTTTATTTTTAAGATTCTATTTCCATCTACTTACCATATACAAATTGGCCATTAAATTAGATGTTTTAAAGTAAAATACTCCAATTTAACATAAATAATATTAAAAAATTATTTAAGTAACAAAAAGATATACTTTCAATGCATATATTTTTTAAATTTTTTATCATATCACGAGATTGATTAATTTGATAATTTTAAAATAGTCTGTTATCCAAGATAAAAAATTTAAATAGCATTATTAATCTTTCATATCAAATATTCAAACCCAGCAAGGTATAGAACAATATCGCCATGAGATTCAAAGTTCAAATGAGAAAATGAGCAAAAATTAGACAAGTTATAAATGAATGGACAAATAAAAGAGTGAATTTTTTTTTTGGGCCTACAAATAAAAGAGTAAGTATATAAAATCATAATTAATAAAAAAGATTAGATCGGACGAATAACTTTAGGAAAAGAAAAGAAGTATATAAAAACATAAGATAAATTCATACATGTAACCAACCACTCACGATCTCATCTACCTAAGAAAGTCTCTTTTTACAACCTTTCATATTTTAATTAAAAAGAAAAAAGAAAGGAAAATAAAACAGAAAAAAATCCAAAAATACAAATTACTACCATTTTTTTATGATTTTAATTTTTTTCTCTTTCTTTTTTTGGAAATATTTGAAAGGCGGCATTATTCTTTAAGAGCTTCTTCATGCATGAATCTTCACCTCTGCATCTTCCCTCCCATGATTTTCATCTCAGAAACGGTCACTCCTCAGGTGAGCAAATGGATCATAATACGCCGGCGGAACACCACCGTTGCTTGAGCTACCAGAACCCGATGGCCCCATCTGATTCGCTCCCACTGGATAATTATAACCCGACCCGTAATAGTACGATGGCGGCTGTGGTGGCGGCATTATTGGTGCGAGCTCCGAAGCCTGCACTTGCTGTCCCCGTGGGACATAGTGGCCACTGGAACTACCGGAACCACCGCCACCATTACGGTAACGATGGAGGTAGAGTGAGAGAGGCCCGACGTAGTCGTCGAAGCCCAGCTTCTCCATAGCCCAAAGCACGTCGTCCGCCGTCACCGTCTTGCGCTGCTCCTGCCGGCAACGCTGGTTGGCCTCGCTGGTGATGAAGCTTATGTACTCGGAGACACACTCCTGGACCGTCTCTTTGGCTTCGTCGGAGATCTTAGCATGCGACGGAAGGACCCGACGCATGATTCTGATAACGTTTGCGATCGGCATGTACTGGTCCTGTTCTCTCATCACCGAGCGCTGCGCGGGCTGCTGCTGCTGCTGATCCTGGTCTGAGTTGGCCGGAGCTCCGCCGTGTCCGGCAGGGTTCGCTGCGCCCGAGAGATTCAAACCTCAAACATCAAAAAATTGTCTGTCAGATTATATAGCCAAACAAAATCTGTCCCAAGAAAGTTCGTATCATAATACTTAAATAAAAATGTATTTATGATCTGACAAATTAGAACAAAAGGTAAGATAAAAAATGAAAAAGATAGCAGTACAGTAACAATTATAAATGAAAACAAAAATAAAAAGTTTAAAAATTTATCATCATTCAAGAAGATAAAAGTTAAACAAGTATAGAAAGATGATCAGAAAGAGCAAAAATGAGCAAGCTGGTGCACAACTAAATTATTTGAGGAGGCCCACAAAATACATGAAAAATCGAAGCTTCTTTTCTCTCTTTAAGTCTCTTCCAATTGGTTGTTTTTTTTTTAATATATATATATATTATTGTGTTTGGTTGAGTAGGATGTAGACTGTGTACGTAGGACTGCAAACGTTTTAGGTAATCTCAACAAGGGCCCTAAGTCAAAGACTTTTCTATTCGCTTCAATTTGATTTCAATTTCCAATTCTCTTCACATTTATGACTCGGCTTTTTCATCTCTCTTCCTGTAATTAATGACACGACACTTTCATATTTGTTTCTTTCCATAAACACGCCGTATCCATATATCCATCATCCCCAGAAGATTCCACTCAATCACTGTAAACAATTTCTGATGAGGTTAGTTCATCAGATAGAGCGACCAAAAGCAGAAAAGAATAATGGATATTCAGAAGAGAAAGCAAAAGCCCTCAAAGAAGATCTATATATACGAGTATGAAGATCAGAGTGGTGAAACAGAAAAACTATAAGAAAAACAATATTGCATATATATGTACAGACAGATCAGTCACAGAAGACACAGATAATAATAATAATAAGAAGAAGAAGAAGAAGAAGAAGAAGATAGATATATAAGACAAAGATTCTTTGATCGGTGGAAAAGGGAAAAAAAACGGTTCTGGCTAAAACCAGATCATCACAGCGTGTACTTCATGATTCTTACATGTCATCTGATCATCTTATGACTGTCATGTCCAGATAATCTCAGATTCAGGAAATGCATGAACATGAAGTACCCCACAAAAATTTCAGATCTTCGTACATTTACAGAGGAAGACAAATATATATATATATATATATATCTCCATCTCCATCTCACGCCGCATGAAGAAGAAGCAAAGAAAATAAGAACCTAAAAGCAAATGTGCACGAACAAGAAATCTGTGTTTGTGTGAGTGTGAGAGAATGAGAAGCTAGGGCAATGGAAGAGGTATGAATAGTAATACCACCGGAGCTTGCGGGTTGTTGGTGGTGGTGGTTGCGGCCTGCAGGGGGAAAGAAGGAACTTCCTGAACCTTCCATGGCTTTTTTTTTTTTTTGCCTGAATCAGACTGAGAATGAGAAGAGAGTATTAATGGAGAAGAACAGTGTGGTTTTGTTCCACAACACAGAACCTTGTATTTATAGGCGCAAAAAGGAAGAGGACGAGCCATCCAAGCAACCAAAATTATTTATTTTTTTTGTTTTAATTCATTCGTTTCTACTTTACCTTTAGCAGATAAAAGGTTTAATTCTTTTAGCGGGTAATAAAAATTGCTTATCATAACATCAAATGCTTAATTATATACTCATTTCCCCCTTTCATTTCATTTCATTTCTTTTTACTTTTTGAAAACTTTCAAATTGTCTTCATGACTAAGAAAATACAACATCATGTAAGACTGTAATTGTTGGAAATATTTAACATTTTTATGAAAAAAATGAAAATAACACAAATAATGCTTCTGTCTCTTGAATAATAAATATAAATATAATTTTTATTTCAAATATGATTAAGGAAATCAGTATAATAATTAAATTGCACCTTTGGATTCGTGCTGGGAAAATTAATTATGATCTCAAGAAATTATAATATTAATTATAGTTAATCATGTTAAAATTAGCTGTCAATATTATTTTCACATCTCATTGGAAAATATAGAATTTAACTTGTTCAAGATCATGAAGGACTTTAAAAGGTAAATTAAGAACCTTCTTTCTCTTTGTCAAAACAATACACGTTGCCTACCTAGCTATATGCTTCATCCCTCATCTATAGATTTTCAATCCTTATATGAATGACAAACTAAACATGACAAATAGTTGATTATACTTTGAGATAAAAATTGGATACATGAATTTTTCATTATACTTAATGTAACATTTAATTAGTGGACTTTCTCCAAGCACTGCTTAGTTGTGGCAAGATAGAACGGTGGTTCTCTTTGGTAAGGTAAATTTATGCGTGATAAATTGGCAACACAACTTTTTGTCACTAAATAGAGTTTATAAATTAGCTAATAAGCTAAGCATAAGTGTTTTAATTTGTCACTCCGAGGTTGTCTCCTTTAATTTATATATATGCGTGTGTATGCTGTTGTTGTTGCTGGGGACATTTACTTCCATTTGCCTGCCAATTTTGATCAAACCTTTAAACCAGTCCCATTTTTTGCTAATCTGGTTTTTAAGAAATGCATGCAGGCTACGTCAATTTGCTTTTGTATTGCTTTATGATCTTAATTTTCAAAAGAAAAGTTCCGCCAAAAAATTTTTTTGAAAGAAAAGAAAGTCTTTTCATTTTTCCAAAACTTGTGTTCACCCTTTCCGCCTTCTTCATATATCTATCTCTCACCGTACTAAATGATTGAAGTCGTGACAAATATTTGCTTTACGGAAACATCCTATCATAGAAAAGGATCCAAACAAATAACTTAATTTTTAACACTATCATTTTAAAAGAAAATATTTCAAAATAATTTTGAGAAAGTGAGTATATATATATATATATATATAAAGATATAAATAAAAAGTAAAAATGAAGAGTAACTAGTAACATATGTTAAAAGAAGGTTGACATGTATGATCCGCGTGTATGGAACAAACAGCACAGTAAGACAGAGGTAGGACCTACTTCTGTGGGATCCACATGATTGGGAATCTTGGCATTATCTACGCATCTCACATGAAAAATCACATAACGTTTCTTATAACATAACGTATACACTTTTAAGTTCTCTTTGCTCACAAAGATTTAATCTTTGCAAGTCATATCAAATATTCTTTTCATACTAACGTTTTTGTAAAATATTTTTAAAATTTGGTATTTCTCTTTGGATAGTTCTTGACATTATGTTGACTCATCATATTAAAACAATATATTTGTCTGTTTTAACACAAATTTAGTCACGGAAATTGTATATTAATGTGAATTGGTTTTTTATTTGGACTACATTATATTATATTGCTATTACATAGAGTTTCTAATATTCTCATTGTCATGTGTATATATAAATATATATTAATTATATATGCTTAAGATCTCACCTACAAAATTAAAGGACTCTTGAATCACACACACTACTGTAATAAATAAATTATAGAAGGAAGAAACTGTACGTTGTTATGCGAGTGAGAAAATTAAGGAACAAAATGCATTTGAGGAATAGAATGGCATAAAAAGAAGAAGCATCTTTTATCTTGTCTCTATCTTGGAAACACATGAAAAATAAACCCTTGCAAATTAAAGTTCTTATCTTCTTCTTCTTTTTCCAGTTTTATTATATGCCTCAAAAGCTTAAGTGGGTCCCATCTTCTCACACTAAACTTCAGTGCATGGCGTCGTAAGAGCAATTTCTAGGTCTTGGTATGTTGTTTTGTAACGTTTTAATATGTGGAAAGTCACTTATAATTTCATCACAAACAAAATATCCATTACAAATAGTTAATTTACCAAATTTTGAGATAAAAATTGGACACGTGAATTTTTATTAGCAATGAAAGATAATGAACATTTGAGCAATTGATTTTCCCCTGAAACACTGCTTAAAATTAGTCTGGTAATAAATTGGGATTGGCAACCTAAATATTTGTCACTAAATTAAGTTTATAAATAAAGCAAGCAAGCATATACAAGTCTTTTGTCATTGAATATTGCATATATTGTGCCTATGTTGTTGGAGTCATTGATCACTTCCATTTGCATGCAAGTAGGCTACGTATTTTCCTTTTGCGTTGCATATACTAGCTAGCTGTTGTGCTATATATGTTCCTCTATGTTCTTAATTTTTAAAAGAAAATTAGTTCTTTAAAAAATAAAATACAAAAAAAAAAGGAAAGCCATATGTAGAATTTTCTCATTGTGTCCTCCTTTTCTGTTGTTTCCGTGTGTTCATCTCTCTCTTTTTATATTGTATGATTGAAGTCACGTTAGATAGTTGTTTTACGAGAGCATTTTATATTAGGTGATACGAATAATTTAATTGTGAAGTAATATGTACATTTTTTTGTTAGTATTTATTTTAAAAGGAAAATATTTTTAAGAAAATTAAGAGAGTGAAATAAAATATAGGTAAAATTTATTGTCTGTAACTCACAAGACAATGGAACCATCTTAATAAAAACCGGTTTTATTTCTTGTTTACTTTTCTACCAAAGTCCCCAGAGCTGCTTGTCTTGGGATGGCCATTATATTATTCCCATCATTTAATTAATAAAAGACAATAAAGATGAAGAGTATACATATATATTAACCTCATTTTAAAACTACTAGTACTCTAAAATTATTTTAGAGAAGATTTAATTGGTAAAAAAGATTGAAAAAATTCCAAAAAAATAACTATTGAATTTTAAAGTTTCAAATCAGGAATTACTATAAAAAAATATTATTATTTATTTTTTGAGTGTAGTTATTTTTTTTACTAGTAAAATAACTAATACTAATTTGAAATTTTGAAATCCAACATTTGTTTTTTTGAAATTTTTTTAAAAAGATATGTATATAACCCGTGTGCGGGACCCACAACACACGGAGATAGAGGTAAGACCTACTTTTCTAGGGTACACATGATTGAAAATTTTGTAGCTACCAAGAGTCTCACATAAAAGATCATTCTATACTTCTTTCTGTTCAATAAGTATGTAACGTAAACTTTCTTTTCAATAAGTATGTACCTTTATAAAATATTTTTAAAATTTCAATTTTTGGGGAATGAAATAATTTGAAATATTATATTAAAACAGTTCTTCAAAACCATCCCAATTGCTAAAATTAATTAATTCTATTCCTTTTTGGATAATTCCTGAGATTATAAGAGACCTATAGTTTTCACAGCAAACTAAAACAATATATTAGTCTTTTTCAACACAAAATTAATCATGGATTTGATATATCAATGTGTATTGGTTTTCTATAATTGGATTACATTATGATTATATATAGTTTCTCACATTCTTATTGTTATCTCCCATATATGATCCCAAGAGATTCATCTACAAATCTGTAATAGGGTTCTTGGGCCCCACCAGCTGGAATAGAAGGCAGAAAGTAAGAAACTGATGATATCTGAGTGAGAAATTGAGGAAAAAAACAAAATGAATAATCAACTTTGAGGAATAGAATCACAGAAAAGAAGCATCTTTTTTCTGATCTCTATCTTGGAGCCACATGAGCAATCAGACCTTGGAATTTAAAGTTATTTCTCTCTCTCTTTTTTCCTCAGTTTAATTTAATCATGTCTTAAGCTGATCATGGCATCTCTAGAGCAATTCTAATTCTGACGTATTCATTTCATCATGTCACAAAAATATTTATTCAGAATTTATAAGGAAATGGCTTTAATTAATTAAGAAAGTAAAAGCCCAATACACAGGGGAGCTGTGTGGGTGGTAAAGGTATCTGCCCATGTGGCCTGGCTTGGGTGGGCTTCTTTTGGGTGATAAGACCAAGATGGACTCTACATGTTTTTAAGGGAAAAAAATTCCATTTACAAAGTTGTTTTCAAGTTTTATTATTCTTAAATAATCTGGTACTGGTAAAACTCATTTTCAAAAGGAAAAAGTAACAACCACACAACGCAGGGGGAAAAGATAAACTGACTCGTATTGGAAAATGCAGCAGTAATAGTAACTTGAAAATTGAAATCATGTTTCTAGCTTTGGTCATGTTTCTTTCCTGATCTAATCAAAAGATGTTACATGAATAATCCTAGGGTTAGTAATCTAGGTTTACTCAGATCCCTTCCTATTTGATTTTGTACCATTCACACTTCTTTTTCTTTTTGAGATGGCCATTATCACCAAGAGATTCAGGACATGTTTTATTATACCCTTTGCTGTACTGAACAAGATTGGTGACAACGGCATACTGAGTGATATTGCTTCTAGGCTCCAATATTCTCTCTATAACAGCATTCTGCCCACATTTTGATTCCACAATTGCTTTCTCTCTCAGCTTTGGAATATCAATTCCCTATCAAAGCTAAAGCTGTCACTTGAAACCTGCATTGAAGATATTTTGTGAGGTTTCACAACGAAAATTATCGATG